GTTTGTTTCCGAAGTTTAAATAAAAATAATCCTTGCTATCAAGCTGTCTCTAAGCCATCACAGGATTTTACTGTAAAGTGCAGGGACACACCTTATTTGTCGGTGAGCACAGTAGTCAAATTGTTCAGGGCAATGCTCCACAAACAGCTTCAAAGCGAATGACCAAGTTTATCTGAGGGATTGTTGGCCAGGATACTAGGAGAAACTCCCTTCATTTGACACTGAATTGCAGGACCTTCACCCCCACACTCGATACTTTGAAGAAGTCTCCTCTCTGAGCAGTTGGGTGATATACTTTTCTCTCACTTTAAATCTCTGACTTTTGCCAATGAATGTGCGTCATTTCTGTCTCACCGACAATGTTGCATTTGTTATATGGAAACGTGTTGAAACAGGGATGGTGATTAGACTCAATTAAGCTTGCTTTTGACTTGATTAAAGCAGACTAGCCATTTCCTTCTATAAAAAAAATTGATTTCTCAGGTATTCTTCATAATATAACAATATAGTAGAGATGGAAGCTTTGTAACACAGATTCCAGGTTTAGGTTGAATGATTCCATTTGATCAGCCAAATTGGGACCAGAGATGGGAATAAGTCTTCACAAGCCAAAATTAGACTTAAGTATAGAAGGATTTCTCTCTCACTTCCAAGGCTGGTAGATCATCTAGATCCATTTATAATCAGTTATATGTGTCCATAACAATAGGACCATACATTACCGGGTTATGCTACGGTGCAGTAGCTAGTCCCGTCTGCATGTCCAGAAGAACATAAAAGATTGCATGGCACTATTTCAAAAGCTTTCTCTCTGTGACTTGACCAACAACGATAATTATCCTCGCAGCAACCCCACAAATAAAATTGGTCATTCACTTCACAGCTGGTTTTGCGATACAGCTGTGCACAAACTGACTACCGCAAGATGGTTCACATACAAGATAAACAGTCACTACACTTCACAAAATATCTTGCGGAACACATTAGGACACTCTCCCAACATGAAATGTAATATATCTCATGCCAGGATTACTATTGGGATTATTTATAAGTACTTCGTATTAAAGCTGAGGTTTCTCTCCCTTAAGTCAGTTTTCGTCGGAAATTACAAACATTATGATTGAAAAAGGGACAATATTCAGAGCACAAAATATTTTACAATCCTCTGCAAACTCCAAAACCATCTCAAAACACAGAGAAGGAAAGCTCTCAACTATCCGCACAAAGAACAGAGACTCGCTGCTGAGCTCGGAGAGCAGACTCCAGGCAAAGCCGATGCAAGTCGTGAACTGATTGGCTCGATTTTTCGTAAATCAAACCAGGTTCCCGATTTCTTGGAACGACTTTCTCAGGGATTTCACCCTTGGCAGACTTGAGAAGAACTGATGCATCTCAGAGAGTGAAACCTTCTTGACCTTCCAGCCATGAATTACTGAACCCCAGTGGGAGGTTCATACAGAACAATGGCTCACTGTCTTTAAAGAGCTACAAAAGCAGATGGCATTTATCGACTTGCAGTTGACGGACGGATGGAGGCGGGGGTAAGGTTAAGATCCTAGATCATTTTGCAGCTCAATGGAAAAACCACATTGGAACTTTTAACATTGCTACAATTTCCTGATCTCACTGTGAGCCAGAATCATGTAGGTGGAATTTGTAGGTGGAGAGGAAGCGGTCATGGCACAGGGTCCCACTGTGAAGCAGTTTGAGATGACCTCCCGATGTGAAAGGCGCTATATTAAATGTAAGGATTATTATGATTATTTAAGGAATTCTAGATAGCCAGAGCACAGTATCTCAAGGCTTGCTCAGCGATGATGGAGTGGAGCGGGCGGGTAATTGCCGAGCAGAGGGAGCGAGAGCGCAGGAGGCTTGACTCAGTTGCTAGCATAATTCTGAGAGGAAAATAGAACTCCAAATTCCAGAAGTAAAATTAACAGTGAGAGAATGTTAACCAATCAGTAAATCAAATCAGATTTACAAATCAAGACTTCACCCATAAATGCACAGGCAGCCACATCACAATATATTCTGTGAAGAGCTTGGAGACAGCCACAAATTACATTTGCATAGCACTTTTCATGTTGGGAGGACGTCCCAAAGCGCTAAGACGTCTCACCGACATGATAAGGCGCTATTTCAAATGCAAGGATTATTATGAAGATGCAGCGAGCAAGTAGGTTACAGCTAGGATGGAATTCAAAATATATTCCTCTAACTAGAGACCTGAAAGGCACTGTAAGCACTGCACGGCAAACAGGCTATTTATACTTAATGAGCGTGGCACCAGCCATGTGTTTCCTATTTAACAAAGCATCTCAGAGAAAAACTCGATAAGCCATTAAATTAGATAAGGCTAGGTCCTGAAGCACAGCAAAAAGAAGACATCAGGCTAGGGCGGGCGTGTGATGGAGTGAGTGAGGATCAGCGTCGCGCTACAGGATAATGAGTTGGTGGGAAATTAAGCTGTGCAATGAGTTCTGGTGAGATTTAGAAAGACGTGGCTTAATGACAGCTGTAATCTTGGAGCAAGTCGAGCTGTACACCTGCTCCATCTTGGGAGTTTGCAGCGTAGAATAAAAAAAACAGGCAGAGCACAGCAATGCTTGTTAATAATAATAATCCTTGCACTTGATATAATGCCTTATCATGTCTTCGAGACGTCTCAAAGCGCTTCACAGAATATACTGTAATAACGTGATTTGACTGTGTGTTTTGTGGGCGAAATGCGGGAGCCAATTGCATACAGCAGTGTCCCACAAACAGTCGTGGATTGAATGACCAAATTATTATTATTTAATAACAATAATCCTTGCATTTGTATAGTGCCCTATCATGTTGCTGAGACGTTTTAAAGCGCTTCACAGCATATACTGTAAAATGGATTAAATAATATTTATTTATTTGAAGGGATTATTACTAAAATAATAATAATCCTTGCATTTGATATAGAGTGTTACATTTTTTTTGAGGGATTATTACCCCGCAAAGCACTCTATCAATCGCCTAACAACCGGGTTCCTATTTACTGCTAGGTAAACAGAGGTGTGTGGAGTAAGGAAACTTGCCTAAGGTTTCGCCCTGACCGGGAATCGAGCCTGAGTCCTTTTGCTTGCAAGGCAAGTGCTCTAACCAATACGCCTCAGGGCTCCAGTTAGGGCGATGCACAGCCCCAGTCTCAAACTACTATTCGGGATACTAAGTGCCAGCTACCTCCCACCAAGCGTGCTCATGTTCAGCCATGGAGCTTAAACATGGGACTCAGGCCCCATTGGATTCTTGTAATCACCCTGTTACCTGCATTGCAGGAAGGATTACATGAACCAGAAACAAGACAAAGCAACCTGGGCCGTCGCTGCCCTTCCTCATGGCAATATGCACGCTACTCAATCATCTCATCCACTGGTTCAGCTCATTGCTGCCACCTTAAATCTAAAAGCCAGAACCAACACCACAAACAACAAATTACATTTGTATTGTCCCTTTCACGTCAGGAGGCCATCCCAAGGCGCTGGACAATCAAGCGTTTGGACCCGAGCTGGGGGGGCTGCGAAGAGGAGGGGCTGAGGGCAGGGAGGGTAGGGGTAGGAGGGACACCAAAGGCAAGGTCGAAAGGAGTGTCTTGAGAAGCCCAGGGCAAAGCAGGTACCTACAAATTCAGTCAGTACATCTCACAATATAAAATGCTGTGAAGGATTATTATTATGTGGCCAATGTCGGGCTCAAAAGCCACAAGCTTCTAACCCAGAAGCAACAGTGCCGTCAACTGTCGGACTCCAGGTCCAGTCTCAAGCCTTGGCTCAAATGCCCATTGTTCCTACCCTGTTGTGGAAGCTGGGGCAGATGCTGGCATCTCTTCTTCCCAGGACATGCCTTTACAGCAGCTGTGATTGGATTTTCATGGGCATTTTTCTATGCGTATTAGATGCAGGTCTAAGAGCCACAAAACGCACTCCAGTGAGTAAATCCATTCAAATAAGAACCAAATCAGATTCCCTCATCCGGGGTTAGGAGATTACAAAACCTTGTGAAATATCACAGTGTGTCACACACTTAATTCCCCCCCATCCCATCTCTCCTCCCTATATCCCCTATCTAAAGCCTTGCCTCTTCTTTCCCACAAGTCACTTTCTGCCACGTTACTTCAAAATTGAAAACAGCTCAAACAGAGGGATTTGAACTGGCCAGCTGTAAACATCTGGCCCAGAATCCCAGCACACTGTTTCTCAACTATAATTGGATATGTGAACTACTTTGGAGCAAAAATCCCATGTAAACTCTGGAGAGATCATATCCAGGCCAAAATTAGTTGAACAGGATCCAAAACTCCACGAAAGGGACAATAAATGAGGCTTTTAGTTAGTTGAAAAGTAGCGATTGCAGCCCTTGTAAATTCCTCGAACTCTCTGCACTTCCAACAGATTTTCGCAGAGAAATCCAAGGCATTGTTATTCCAGGGCTCGGCAACCCATCCCATAGATTTGAAGCTTGCTTTAGATTAAGCAACTGTCAGGTGAGTAACTTGGACAATATACAGACGGAAAGTTACTCAACCCCAAGAGTTCACCCATAAAAAACAGTCACTCCATTTTACATTAGTTCTCACAAAGCAAAGAGGTGTCCTCCCAAGGTGAAAGGTGCTATATCAAATGCAAGAATTATATTATTATAAGTCCGTATCACTTCCATCCTCTTCTGGCTCCTTGGTTCCCCATCCCCTAGCAGACCAGATTGAGTTCAAGATCTTCATTTTCACCTTCAAATCCCTCCACTGTCTCGCTCCATCATTGTGACTCCCACAAACCCACCCTTTTTTAAGGGATTATTACCCCCGGAAAGCAATCCGCCAATCAACTAACAACCAGGTTCTTACTTCCTGCTAAGTAAACAGAGGCTTGGAGCAAGGACCCTTACCCAAGGTTTTGCCCAGCCCGGGAACCAAACACGGGTCCTCTCGCTTGCAAGGAGAGTGCTCTAACCAATACACTACAAGTACTCACCCCCAGCCATCTTGCGCCCTTGTTAGCCGCTTGTTGTATCTGGACTTTCTTGAGGGTAACGTTGTAAATGGCTCCTTCCTCTACCTCTTCTCCCCAGTCTTGGATCGAGTTTTGCTGTGGACAAAAGCAGAGCAGAGTTAATCCCTCTGGAGAGGAGCGTAGCCAGCCCGATGGGAAGGGAGATTCCAGCACGAGCAGATAGCGAGCTGGCTTTACACATCTTAACAACTAGAAAAGTAAATACAATTTTCTAATTACAGATCCCTGCAACACACAAAAAAGGATTTGGGTAACTTCCAGCCAGCTGGCTGAGCCAATCTCAGACTGGTACAGGGCAATTGATGGACTTTCTGATTGGGAATTTTTTGTAGTTCTTAATTCCACAAACTGAGGAAAGAAAGGACACTCCCTTTTTTTTTGAACCTTTAGCTCATCAATTGTTTCTTCCCCCCCGCCCATGTAAAAGTCGCATTAGTTTAAAGGAGGCACATCTCAAGATCCCATTTGTAAAGAAAAAAGAAAACAATTCTGAATAAAAGTTTTCCAGCTTCAGTCATTAAAACGCACCGTGAAGCTGCTGCTGTTTCTGAACTCTGTCATGTCACCTGAATTAGTGTCATCTCACACTCCGGATTTATGCACATATATTACAACAAATGTCTAGATGAAAAATGTGTCTTACAACATTCTCCCATTCCTTCACCACCGCCCCCCAGCGCCTCTGTGATTGCACACCGAAACACCCCAGAGACTTTGCCTCAATTATTCTTAATGGATACAAATGTAAAAGCAACAACTGTCCACTCTTGAGAACACGCTCCTTCACTCTCCATTTCCATTTGACCAAGGCTGAAAAACAAACCCCTCAACTTGCCAGGTTTTGTTTCAGTAATGGGATGCACAGTCTGCAGTTTTAAGGATTCCCTAGAATCACAGAGTTTAGATCATCTCCCACGTTCCTACTCTGCACCAGAAACAACTATCGCAAATCACTTCATAACAGTGAAAACGCATTCAAACATCAACATACAAATTTCTACAACTCTTGTTTCCGTTCATACCCTGGGCTCGAGTGCTAAACAGAACACACAGAACTAGAGTTAGACAGGTCACTGTACCATTCTAGGCTTCCAAGGGAACCGCATTTTTATCTTCCTCTTCATGTTGCAGGTTATTACAGATCGGCAAGTACAATGATCCAGTGTTTTTAAAAATCTTGTCACACACTCCACTGGTTTAGTGCACTCGCTGTCCCCTGGAATCAGTCCATTTCTTGCACAGGCACAGAGAGTTCTGCCTCGACTCCTCCCTCTGTGCGTGATGCAGTGCTTTCCTGTCTGTGTCCCTGAACTTAAACCTTCACTTACGATTGCCTCAATTTCTCTGAATTTTAACTGCGCTGGGAGTACAGCAGCCAAGCCTGCTTTCTCCATGCGTCTGCCTAAACTTCAGAGGCAAAAATGAACTCTAGTTACTCGTTAGCCAGATGTTAGCGAGAGAAAGGAGAAAAATACAGAGATGTTTTACGAGCAAATGGGAACAAAGGGAAGGAGTGGTGGATGAGTGGGTGGTGGAGGGGAGGTTTCTCACGGAACATTATCTGCCTGTATAGGTTGTGTATAGACTTGTGTGAATAATTAAATTAGAGAAACTCAACAGAGACATCTACACTGAACAATCCAGTTGTCTTAACAAGGAAAATAGCTGGAGGTAACTTATTAAAGGATACACACCCTCCAGCCAAACCAACTATAATTAGAAGTTGAATACTTCAAACTTCTAAAACAGCTGCAAACTCATTACTGTGTATTTCCAACAGTCAGTTTTGTTCTCTTTTTTCAAAAAGAAAATTGCTGACGAATCAGACAAACATACCACGATAGGCCTGAGGAAGCATTTCCAAATTAAAAATAGTATATAATAATCCTTGCATTGATATAGCGCCTTAACACACTGTTGAGCCATCTCAAAGCGCTTCACAGAATATACTGTAAAGTGAATTGACTGTATTTAATGGGTGAAATGAATAAACTGCACATAAAGAAGCCTTTCAAGCATTCTCTCTTGCTCTGTCCACCAGAAGCTCTTGCTCCCCTCCTCTTTGCACCCCACTCTACCACCAAATCCACACTCCGATCACAAGATAAAGTTGCGCTAAATTTCCGTAACCGCATTAGTTACAGAATACATGAAAAACTGGTCTGCACAAGTAAAACTTTCACAGCAGGATAAATATTTACAAGCCATACAGAAAGAGCCAGTTGTTGAGTTGCCAAGGTGCCGCATGCAACCTTCCTCATTACTGCACTAGGGACATCGAGCACGGGAGCGATTTCACAGCCAAACCGGACGGCTGCACTTTGTAATGGAGAAGGCTGTAATCAATCCTTAAATCCTCTCGGCTGCTGATGTGCCTCCCAACGTGCTAGGCACCGAGGCTGGTTCAGCCAACTGGATTCTGACCATAGTTTGGTTCACTTAGAAAACTGTTTTTTTTTACCCCGAAAAAAAGATAAGACTCCTTGCTGTTCACTGGTGTGTCGTTGTAACCGGGCACTTCAAAGAAAACGGGCTGCTTCCAAGAAGTTCAGCAGCTTCAAGAAATTCTCTGGCAAAGGGCTGGCTCATTCGGACGCTTATTAAATTATTTTCTCGTCCGGCGGCATTTCGGCAAAAGCACACTTATTGATTCTTTTCCCCTCCGCCCGTGTCTCCAAGCCCCCTCTCCCAGCCCCCGAATTCTGAAAAGGGCTTAAATATTAATCACAAATTCTCAACAAGGATTAGAAGTGGAAAAGGCAACAAAGGTGCCAGATGAAAGCAGCTCATTGAGAAGGTTATGAATCCCTTCCCCCCTCCCCCTCGCTGCCTCTCACTCTTTTGTATATTTCACCAAGCAGCACATCATCACTCGACAATGGTGCGTTTCCACGGAAACCGCCAGACAATCTCATGTTGGGGTCGAAACTTACTCCGGTGCCTAAGCTCAAAGAGCCACTTTGAGATGGGAGAGGGAGGTGGGGATGTTGCTTTCTTTCACTGGCATCAAAGGCAAAGACAGATGTTCGGATAGACAGCTGACAAATTGTCACCAGCACTCATAGTCGTTTGTCCGTCTCCTCTCTCGTGCACAGTTTGCGGACCTGAACTAAACAGCTCTAATGAGCTCAAAGCAGTTCATTTGTTTTCTTATAGTAATTAGCGTGCCTCTGAACACCATCACTTGTGCCCACACAGCAAATATATACTAGTCATTTCAACTCATTAACCTTTTGGCTCTCACCAGAAGCAAAAAAATTCCACTGAAGGGAACTCCTTTGTGTGTCTTTGCAAGTGCACACAATCCATCATTTAACAATACGTTGCTCCGTACGAGACAAACAGATGCAGAATCTTAATCTTGGACCATATCCAGATTATAGCTCAGTCCCAGTATACTTTACACCCATTTTCCCCAACGCAGAGATTCCCAGACTGAAAAGTCTGTCCACTTGAACCATACAACAACAACTTGTCTTTATATAGCGCCCGAGACGTGGGGTAGTGTCTGAGTGCTTAACAATAACATAGTTTGATGCCAAAACGGAGATAAAGGAGAGGTGACCATAGAAACTATATCGGTGGTTTTAGTAGTTACCGGAATTTGGAAATGCATCTTAATCAACAACCAGGATGTAATATCTCCAACTGAAAGCATTTTAACAAGTCATGAATACATCTCAAACTTCGAAGCAGAGAATTACAAGTCTCACAAAGTGTCAAATCCCCCACCTTCTTCAAAGAGCAGTAATATTCTGAGGCGCTCGTCAAACCAAACTGCCCATTAAAACACCATCTTGTGTTGTGAAATGCAGGTAGTTGTGAAATGCTTCGGAACTTCTCAGGAAAGATAAATCACTAGTTAATACGGCAAACAGCTCCATTATAAGGGCATTGTGCAGACTCTTATTGTGTAAGATAGATTTATAAGAATTTTAAAATCAGGTATAGGAAAGGGAACCAGCAGGGTGAAATGAGTCACATTAACAATCAAACACTAAAGTTTTTTTCCCACCGAGAGCATAATGGTTTTAAAAAAAGCCTCAGACTATGTTGTTCTGGGATCCTACCAGTTAGGTGATGGTTAAATTCAGACCATGCAAAGAGTTCAATACTCGTTCTCATCGATTGCCCTTTAAGATCAAAGAGGAACCAAGTAGAACAACAATAATGTTTGGTGAGGGCTGTTGGTAGGTCAGTTCGGCTAGTTCGCTCAATGGCAAAAAGTTAAGGGTTCGAGTTTATAATCTAGTCTGAGACTCCAGTGCAGTAATGAGAGGATAGAGTTTTACTGTTAACAGAGAACTTATTGTAAGCGATGCCTGATTCAATGCAAACCTAATCCTAGCAATGAATTGCACGTGCACCACACCCCTTGATATTAATTTCCTTACAATAGAAATTCTGAATCAGTGTCATTTAATTACATAAATAACATCCGACAAGCTACTGGCAACACAATGACTAATTTATTTTGGTAAGGACATCGTGAGAAACTAATGCTTTTCCCTTTTTGGATAGTGGATAGTGTCACAAGATCTTTAACGTCCACCTCAGTTCAGAGTTTTATCCACGCGAAGACACTTTTAACATTTTCCCCAGTACCGCACGGGAGCATCAACATAGACTATGGGCTCAGGATATTAGCTTTCAAGAGAGAACTGAAAAGATATTAAAAAAGCAATAATTTATAGGAGATGGGGGAAATAATATAATAATAGTAATCCTGGCATTCAATATAGCGCCTTATGTCATTGAGACGTCTAAAAGAACTTCACAGAATATACAAAGTGAATTGACTGTATATATTGTGGGCGAAAAAAAAAGGGCAGGTCAATGGGACTGAATTGCTCAATCAAAGAGTCAGCACAGACACGATGGGCTGAATGGCCTTTTTCAGGGTAGGCACTTCTGTGGTTCTGGGAATGTAAATGTCAGCAGACTATCAGCTTCCAAAAAAAAATGAGGCAATTTGATTTACAGATGAATAAACAGCAGTGATCAGACAGATTCCAGCCCAACCATTTGCAACGTTTACCTGATCTGAAACAAGGTTTGCAGAAGAGACTATTTCA